TGCCATCAGCTATTATCTTTTTCCCATTTTCTCCCACCCTGGAGCATGTGTGTTCTGAGTCGACACCTTAACCAAACACGTATGTTCTTGGTCTAGATGGATTATGTGTTATGGTTTGGACATAGACTGCCTGAACTTGGTTGGTCCATGCTTGGAATGTTTTACACACCTGGTGCCTGCCTTGGAGTAGCAAAAGCTTCCTGTCCACCCCTAGCATAAGATACTTTCCTAGAGCTGCACAAAACTTGGAATGAAACATTTCAAAACCAGGCATTAAAAGATCCTTGGCTGCAATGTCTCTCTTCATACTTAAGAAAACCATATTACACAGGGCCTGAAACTGCAAACAACACAGCAACATCTTCCTCTGATGCCTTCCCATCTCCACATAACTTCTCACATACTTCTCTAACAGTTTAGAACAAACATGGACCAGTAAAGATCAGGAACTATGGTTGTGCTTTATTAAGACCAACAATTTATTACAATAGCAGCAGAAAACATACCTTTCTCAAATTATTATTTAATGGATCAGGAATCTTAAAATATTAAGTGAATAAACAATCTGACATGTAGAGTATTCAACTGCCAACTGCAGATAAACGTCAACTTCAGTCAGAAAAATATCCAGTTTTTGTACTGTTGTCACCGCCTATACCTGCATATTATTTTCCACATGAATCTGCATCACTGGATCCTTTATTTAGCTACTATTTAGGAAGGTAAGCTGGCAAAAAATACTGTTGATTCAGGTGCAGTAAAACCAAAGCCAGACAAAAATGGATGTTCCCTATTGCTTTACTTACTTTATTAAGTAACCTTTTTTAATTCTGGAGTATAACTTGATACAGGGGTTAACATTATTTTGTTCTTACTTAAAACATGCCTTTAAGAAAAGTTAACAGACAGGTATGAGGAAGTAAACATATGGTTTAAATACATTACAATTCTGCATACCTACTGTGTAGCGCATCACAGAGAGCTGTTCATTGCCATCCGTATGGATTGAAACCAAATCTCTTGTTTCAGCATCCAAAACAAACCACCTGTGAAGGAGAAACAGAAATGTTCTTGCAAAGTTACTTTCTAAGGTAAAGTAAAGTTACTTTCTAATTTTCTAAAATGACATAACCGGTTTGACTACTGCTTAAAAGTTGCCCTAATAATGTACCGATAAATGCATTTTTACTCACAAACATTTCTAAGGCAATATGCATATCTCTAAATAGGGCATATAGTGCGCATCATTTAATAATAAAGTGGGCTCAACAACTGTTTTTGTGGCCTGGGTCACACTTTCTATTTAAATGTTTATTATTATTTTGCCTCCAAAGGCTGCAAAAGGTATAATTGGCGATGTATACAGATAAGGCCAAACACTTTTGGGGGATTAAACCGAACAACAGGTCCATTAACCAGCTATTAAAAAGCTACTCACTACAATGACAAGAGGTTGGTTTGCACCTGAATTTCAGTGGCTGCACTGGAATTGAAAAAATGGGCCTGAGGATTGCCCATCCCTGGCATATACAGATCTGTGATTTTAAACATATGCCTATATTTTATTTATGTATATTTCAAATTTGGTCAGTGTCCATCTCACTAAGGAACGACTCTGGGAGGTTAACAGTAAAAACAAGAATAAATATTAATTAAAATACAATACAATAAAATAAAAACCATATTCATACATAAATAATAATATCTTCCAAAGTATTGATGGTAAATAAGGTTATTAACCTACAGGAGCATCTTCAAGGTGCTAGCCACCCCCAGGGTTGGTTGCCCCTCTTCTCGCCC